CAAGGAACATATCCAGTACAGTAGTGTCAAGGCTTCCACAGTGTTCTGATGGTGTGGGCCTCACATCATCAGGGAAATGATAGCATTCACTTGACAGTTTTGACTGCTTCCAGGTGAAGAGGACCTATTCCCATGGGACATACCGAGCTGGTGCCATGCGGCAGATCAGCCTGGTGGGTGCTGTGGATGAAGAGGCTGGTGATTTCTTTCCAGAGTTCCTTAACATGCTCGAGGAATCGCCCTTCCTGAAAGTAAGTCCCCACGGCAGGGGGTTAATTCAGTTTTGGATAATGCTTCCAGATGAGCAAGAAGCCAGTACTGTGCTGTGGAAGCAAATGAGTCTCTGCTGGAATCACATATGCCAGACTTGGGTAGCAGCTGTTCTTGGGTGAATATTTTACGCTGGAGTGTAATGAGGTCGGTCCCTCTAAGTTGCAAATTCAGTGTGACTCAAGTGACTGCCAAAAATATAAACTCGCAAAAGTTTGACGTAGCGCCTCCACCGATGACAGAAATAAAACAGGCAAAACAGTTAATATAACCATTATAACTGGAAATGCAGCCACCTTGTCAGAAAGAAGGAAGCAGATCTCTAGGCTGACCTCCCGCATATAAAGAACTATTTTGCTTATATGTTTGTGTACGGACCCCAACCCCTGCCTTGAAAGTGAATGCAGTGGCACTTGGCAGTGACTGACACTGACCCCTCCCTACCATGTGTCCAGCTCACACTGCCTTGGGGCACCTTCTCCAGCCTGAAGCTGCACAGCCCCACGGAGAGCGACGACGGCCCCATCATGTGGGTGCGGCCGGGAGAGCAAATGATCCCCGTGGCCGACATGCCAAAGTCCCCTTTCAAGAGGAAAAGGTAAGAAACAGGTCCCAGTTAGTGATGGAAACTAAAACCCTTTTTAGGTAAACATCTGTCATTTTCATTAAACACACTGAAGCCCCTAATTTAAATTAAGGAGGGATGGCAGAATTTAACACATTGTCAAAAGATGCAGAGTGTGGTGTGTCCTTCTAATGGTCAGCTTAAGGGCCTAGTTGGGTGTAGGTACTGTAATGCTTTTGGGAGTCAGTTAGAAACTGATAGCGCAGCCCCTAACTGTGGAGATCTTTGAACTCACATTTTAACCAGTAGCACTCACTTAAAGCCCTTACCTCTGTTAAGCTAACCCCCTCCCCCAAAGGTTCAGTGCCAGCTTGCGTGAAGCATATTGCTGCTCCTCAGGTCGACCAATGAAATAAAGAACCTCCAGTACCTACCTCGGGCCAGTGAGCCACGTGAGATGCTCTTTGAAGACCGAACACGGGCTCACGCTGACCACATCGGCCAGGGGTTCGATCGTCGGACGACAGCAGCTGTAGGCATGCTGAAGGCCGTGTGCTACGGGGAGAGGTGGGTCTGCAGCTCATGCACGTGCCCAACCTGTGCAAATTAATTTGTGTTTGTTTCCACATCCAAGTGATGTCATATAGAAATGCTCCATGCATCCAACTCTCTGTTTTACTTGCAAATCTTGGTACCAGTTATTAGCATTTGGGCCAAGTACTGGGATAACGGTTATTATATCTGCACTTGTTTATGTATAAGGGTGACTTAATTCAATGTATAATTACCACTTGCTGCAAGGTTCAGTCATATGCTGTGAAACATGTCAGTGTAAAGTCTTTCTATGTGAAGTATAAGTGTGGGATTTCATGAAAATGCATGATGAAAGCAACTATTTTGTGTGCTTTTCTTGCCCTACACAGTGTGGACACCCCTCGGATAACCAAAGATGTGATCTGCTTCCACGCGGGGGATTTCCTGGATGTGGTGCAGAGGCTACAGCTGGACTTGTACGAGCCTCCACTGTCACAGGTGAGCCCAGCTCTGTGTTGCCACCTGATGGTCGAGAACCAGAACTGTACCTGTAACAGCAGCAAAAGGAAGTCGTCCCATGAACCACGTCCTATGGTCTGTGTTGGCAGTATTCCCATATAGGAATACATCAGAAGACATCCTAAATGATGCTGATGAATTGTAATGTTCAACAACCCTGAGATTAAAAAAACAACAACTGTGTGAGTGTGTATATGGTTTCTGCCAAAACTGTCTCCCTGTCTCCTGCAGTGTGTGCAGTGGGTGGATGATGCCAAGCTAAACCAGCTCCGGCGAGAAGGCATTCGCTATGCGCGCGTCCAGCTCTACGACAACGACATCTACTACATCCCGCGCAATGTGGTGCACCAGTTCAAGACTGTGTCGGCCGTCTGCAGTCTGGCCTGGCACGTGCGCTTGAGACAGTACCATCAGGAGGCTGAGAGAGAGGGGACAGAGGGGGCCGAGGACGGGACTGAGGCAGCCAGCACAAAGCAGGAGCCCTCTAGAGACGATACACAGCCACTTCCCAGTGTCAAAACGGAGCCAATAGACTTTGCTCCTGATGAGGCTCCAAGGCGGACATCCTTGGGGCCCGAGAGTAGGCCAGAACCACACCACCAGTACCACTGGCAATGTCCTCCCACAGGCCCTGCAGAGGGCAGGACGTGGCCCACCCCGGCCCTCGCTGAGGCGCCTGAGGACACACTGTACCCAAAGCCTTCAGAGCCCCGCCTCCCCAAACATCCACTGCACGAGCAGCCGAAAGACTTTTTATACTGATTTGTACATAACATTTTTAAATTGCTAATTTCCCTCACTGTTTTGTTTTAACAATCAGAAAAGAACAAACAGACAAGAAAACCACACAGAAAACCCGAGGTATGAAAGTGCCGTATGGACCATGTGACCCCCCCAAACGAATACACGGCAAATGTAGCTTCTTACATTCCTCAGTGCCTGTCTGTAACTGTGAATGCTCCGAGCGCTAAGGGCCAGCCACACTGTTACATACCAGGATGGAAATCAACCGGTCCTCAGATAATATATTTTTAAGTTGGAGATTATACATAGACTAGAGCTGACATGAACACATACAGTATATTTTTTGTAAGAGACAGAATTCTTTTAATGACTACAGCCTTTTTCCATAGAGCTTATTTATATTTTTTGTTCTCATTTTAAATGTCAGCACTGTAGTGTAAATAACTTTTTAAAAAACAAAAAGACAAAACTTGTAGTGTGATTTCTACATAAATGGGAACCTCATAATAAAGGTTCACTTTACTGGGTTGGTGGTGTTCAGTGCAGTGCCGCCTGACATCTGTGTGCATGTTTACAAAAGAGGATTTTCCTGCATCCGTTTCAAAGGTTTTGTGAAGCTTTCCAGTGCATGAGATTCAGAGATGGGTAGGTTGCAAAAAGGCTAATCAGTTACACCGTATAAGCAATATACTATAATTGTAAGATTTTCAAACAATATATTTTTGCAAGAAAACAAAACTCATATTTTGAAAGATGATTATAAAACTAATTGACAGTTGACAGTATGTCCACATTTCCTGCTCAGGTATATTTTTAACGTCTATAAAATAAATTTGTTTAGAGCCTAAGATTCACCCTAAAGCAAAGGTAAGAGTCAGTAATATGATCGTTCTTGCACAGTATGCTGGAGTACATAGTAGCCTGGTACTATGTCAGAAGGCCTTTAGTGGTCTATTAAAGTGTTTCCCAGTCTAGTCCTCAGGGACCCACAGCCAGTCCACATTTTTGCTCCCTCCAAGCTCCTGGCAGGAGGGAGCAAAAAAATGTAAGATTTTGTGTGACCGCACTAAATTTGGCTGTGGGTCCATGAGGACCGGATTGGGAAACATAGTAAATAGTAAATGCATGTATTGTAAAGCACTCAAAGCGCTTTACAATACATGCCTCACATTCACCCATCCATACCACACATTCATACACCGGTGGCAGAGGCTGCCATGCAAGGTGCCAACCTGCACACCGGGAGTAATTTGGGGTTCAGTGTCTTGCTCAACACTGGTCTATTAGGATGCACAGATTGGGTCCCTTCTGTCCTCTGAGGTAGGAAGCTTGCTGTGCTTTAGCAGTGTGACTGCGGGGATGCCTGTCGCTGAGCTGCAGTAATTTGTAGGTTCCATGCAGTTCTGACTATTGAAGCTCTGCATTAAAGGGAGGATCATCTGTTGTTATTAAGATGCAGCAAATGGATGCAGTTTATGTAGCCGCAGCATGCATTGCAGTGATAGACAGAAAGATTAAGAGGGGTGGTGGTAAATCTTAATAGGGGATAGTTTTTGTCATTTTATTCCCACTGGGGGATGGCATCCACATGCATCCCATGACATCACCAGCCCTGTTTATAAGCATCCTACTGTTCTAGCCTAATCTCACTGAATGTCACACGTATAGGGGAATGTGGCCATAAAAACACCTGTAATATTAAGTTAGCCAGTGAGGTGTTGAGAGGGCTGGAACTGAAGCAATGGGGATGTACTGGGTCATGTATGTCACTGCAGGCTGGATGTGCAGATCTGCACTGCAAACGATATTTTCAGCTAAAGTGAACACACTTGTTGCCAAGATCCAGCCGTAAGGTGAGTAACACTCATTCCAAATGTTTTGTAGGTATTGGGATGAGCTAATTGTGATTGACTTAAGAGATGGTAAATGTTGCCTTTCTCGTACAAGCCATAAACTGAAGCCAAATTCAGCTTACTGCACTCACTCCATGGTGTGGTTTCTGCACGTTCCATGCAGCTAGATGGAACAATTTTTGATACCATTGGGGGCTGGCTAGCTCTTTGATGGGAGCTACGGACTGGCAAGGTGAGGTTACAGTTATGACAGCAGCACAGGCCGGGATTTTGGCAACCTGTAGAAGGGAAGCTTAAGGGGAAAATGAGAGAGATCCTTTAATAGCTTTGCCTCTGTGTGTCCAAGTGTTACACACCTGCTCTGACCACACTGCATCTGTGCCAATATTGAGGAAATCACGTCAAATGTGCAGGTCTCAATTCAGTTGTAGAAAACAGTATTTTCTGACAAAGTACACGATTGCTTAAAGCATGGTGTAGTGTGTTCGGGGAAGCTGAATGATGGACTGAGGAAATTGCCTTTTCTTTACTCTTTATTCACAGCACCACTATATTATGTGCTATTCAAAGTATGCCTTCTATTAAAAATGCAACTGTTTCTATGTGACAGCCATGAAAAAGAATGGCAGACAATTCATAAATACATAGGTTTTAAATTAACAGCGCATTCCATACAAAAACAGTAGCTATGCTGAATTTCTCAATATCTTGGTATCCAGTAAAGAATTAAGGCTTAAAAATGACTTAATGCTACATTAAGGTTCCCTGCATGAAAAGCCAACATTTTCTCATGTTTCCAATTCTGTTAAAAGTGACAGTATGACCTTATCACGAGGAGGTTGTTAATTATTTAAAGTGAATGAAGTAAAGGAGGTTTTCCATACTGATATGAGAACCTTTGTAGTAGGATGACGGCCTGACTCAGATGGAAGCACATCAATCTCTCTGCTCAGGGAAGATGTTGTACCCCAGTTCAGTCATGGCACCCAGGAGTAGGACCCAGAGTGGGATGCAGACGAGCGAAAGTTTAATCTCTGCCAGCTGTTCAAGCCGCACACATAGCGTGAGGCAGAAGGCCACCTTCAGCAGCATGGCTGTCAGGTACCAGGTCTTCCTCCGTAGGTCCTGTGGGCCGTCGCGTGGCTCGTGGCCTGGCTTACAGTGCCCTGCCATCTTGAGTGCCAGCATGAGGAGGAGTATGGCATCAAAGATCCATATAGGTACAAAGATGAGGAACCAGTTCCAGTTGACCTTCTCATCGAGCTTCAGCACCAGCATGATGAGAAAGACGAGGCTGAAGATCCAGGTCAGTAGCACTCTCTGTGCTAAGGACATACTCATTGAAAATATGCCAGGGAAACACTTTCACCCCTGCAACACAAATCAGGCCCTCAAAAGCAGGATATATTGACAATTTCAGCAACAAAGAACATTAATGCCGCCCTGCTCCGGTTCCTATGTGTCCGGGTACACACCTTTGTTTCATATTTCCCTACACTGCTATATATGCATTTATACATTTAAAGTAAAGCGTAAATTGTGCTCCTTGCTTTGCTCAAGAAGTTCAAGTTTCAAGCTAAGCAGCAGGGCATCTAGTGATTTAAGTTAAAGGATCAAAGCTTAAAAAAAAAAAACACGCTGGATGGAAAGTCTTCCGAAGACACCTAACACTAAATGCAAACGCAGAAATCCACATTGTTACAAAGCGGTATAAAACATGTATGCATCATAACAGATTACATCAAGACTTTATATAGAATAGTTAGCATCAATAAATATTTACTACTGTTGAACTTACGTGAATGTCTTTGCAGTTCAGAGCAGAAACGGCATTTGATTCCGTGTATATGTGCCTTGGAGTACGTACATCTTCCTATTATGCTAAAATGGGAGTAATCCTATTACTGAACCCAAATCTTTCTGGTTATTTCAATCAATTTACACCCCCTTCAGATTTTAGTGATTGTTATTGGCGTGTGTGTATAATATTTTGGTCCCTTTTGTAAATAACGATTGGACCGTATTACTGTCAGTCCTGATCCAGAGCTTTCAAAACATACTGAAAGTATTTCTTCCGGGTCATAAGTTTTTACCGTAAAATACAGACAAAATTGTCATATCCTCAGGTGAATGAATTCTCATTAATATTTTACGTCAACCTTCAATGGCGATGTAGTTAATTCAGTTTTATCGTCCAGCAGAGGTCATCGGATGTCTTTTCTTTTGCCTCGGTAATTACATACGTAAAAAATAGCAAATTTTATTCGGTTTTTAAAATCCAGATACATTGTTTCGAAAGGAAAATCATATGCGTGTTCACGTGAAATACTTATTCCTTACTGAACAATTTTCCCGCAATATTCCAGTAAGATTATTATTATTGGATTGTTTGTAAGTATAAAACTTTTCCAAACGATTTGGTCTATAATGGTTACATTTTGTTGATTTTTCCAGAGCTGCCATCCTTAAGGCGCATGCGATCTGTATATTAATCGTTAAAAATATCATGCGCCTTTTTACTATATATGTTGGTAAAAAGCGACAACTTCTATTTATACAGTAAACGGATTGGGCTTGTGTCGGAAAGAGATAATTGCTCTAAAATTTATAGAAAATGTACTGAATATACTGTGTACATATATGTCGTCGTCGGATTATAAAGACGCAAGGATTTCTATGAAAGTAGGCATCAAGTCATTGCGACTAAGAAGACCTCGAGGTGAGAGCTGGCATCCTTTCCGAAATTTCATTCAGTTCTCCCAACCTAATTAAATCAATTTGTACTCTTGCAGTGTTTTATTCTGGATTCTGCAGTCTCACTGGAGGCTGACGTGTATTTATTTTGTCTGCAGTCGTATACAGGAATAGCTGTTTTATTTTAATGTCCTCCTTAGTCGCCTTACAAACTTGTCACTGCCGTATATGCGCTTGAAAAGTAGAGGAAGAAAAATTCACACAAAGCAAGTGGCTTCCATAAGTCAGAAGAAGAATAAAGCGCAAGAGGAAGTCGAATTAATCTAAATTAAAAGATGATGCAAGAAGCTATAGCTATTTACGGTCTGATTAGGAGACTTGGGCTCTACTGCTGCGATAGACTGATGGGTGCACCGTCGGTTTTTGGACACGTGTGGTACTGTTGGGTTTTTACGGGAAAACTGAAATGTGTGTTTGTATTCCGTTCGTGGCAGGTCGCTTTATGGGAAAACTTCTTGCGGTTTCTGGTTGTAATGCTTCAATTCGTGCCATTTTCGCTAACCTCTACGATTTGATACAAGATTAACCAGAAATATCCCGGCTGTAAAAGTAACGACTCGACTTTTTAGTTGTACTTCTTTTTAGTATTTGGTCTTATGCTTGTCACTGTTAAGCACATGGGCTAGAACCATCGTCTACGATTTCGATGATGTACAAAAAAAAACTCGAGGGTGATTCGTATCTGACACAATCCAGACCAGAAAAGTACTGTAATACCAGCTAGTGCCTAGTAGGATTTCGGAGGATGGTGTAACGGACTGTGTCTGGGCTTCGTCGGCTTCTGTCTCGCTGTCCTTAGCCATCCCCTCTCCTGCTCCATGCATTTACGTTTGACAGGTGACCACGTGATACACATGTCCCCTCATCCTTTTTTATCACCTAACGAAGGATATTGCATTGTTCAGGTGCTATATGGTTAACATCTTTTGTATTTCAAGCACACAAAGGTGGACAATTTCGGGGTTTCCTTCCCTGACACGTAAGTCTTGACACTGGCTAAGTAATTCCCCGCGACTTGTCTCCTGACTTTTTCCACACACGATTTTAAAGTTAGTCAGTGCACTATGGACAACTTTGTTAAAGCGTGTTAAATTCTGGAGAATCACTTTCTTTGTTCTCCCGATGTACAGAAGCCGGCAGCCTCCTCCGAGCCCTGCATCTATCGTGCCTTGCAGCGCCCTAGTTTTCACGGCTTACCCGGAAATTCGTGTCCACAGCTATAAGCGGCAAAACGGACCGGGAAATCCCCTTAAACAAAGCGCCGGCTTGTGTCTGCAGTGGGAATAGAAGTACGGCGTTCTAATGGGTGCCTTTTTCTGCTGTTGTCGTATGAACAAAAAGAGGAAATTAGGTCATTCTGCTGTGTTGTGCGGATTTTTATTCCCCATTAAACTTCCACTGAGCTGTGCCCTAAGTGGGCCCAAAGGGCTGTAATCTTGGGGGCTCCATCCGAAGAGCGTTACCCTTCGTCGGCCTAGTTTGCCCGTGCCTCTCCCGGCGCTTTCCGGTGCTTTTTAGCCACGCTTGGTATTGGACACTGACCTCGCCATGGTCCGTGATCAGCCACCTTGTTTCGTCCGCATGCATAATTCATGATGAGCATTTCAGTTCAAGCTATAAGGCAAAGTACGTCTGTGGTTTTGTTCTGGGATTAAAATACCGCTTAGTGATTGCTTTAAGATGTATTGTCACTTTTGCAAAGAAAATATTGCCACGGTGCCCGTGGGGTGGGGTGGGGGTGGATGCAGTGTCTATTGACATATTGTCAGTTGAGGTCAATAAAGTACTTCTGATGAAGTGCAGATAGTACAGTACTATGCAATACAGTGATTATGGGGCAAATAGCTGTAAGTCACTGGTTATGTAGCGAGCTGATGGCTCTAGGGGAGAATCAGAAGTGGATGGAGAAACGCCAGTAGTGTTTCCTAGGGAGCAGGAGTGTGATGAGGGCGTGGACTGGGTGGCTGGCATCCATGCTGATGCACTCATGCCCCTTCTATCAGCAGCAGAGGCGGATTGACTGGAGCTGTGCAAGATCTGTGCCAATGATCTTCAAAGCTGTCAGGATGCTCCTTTGGCGCAGTTTCAGGTCCTGAGCCACTCGGTTACCCAAGCACACCACGGTGGATCCAGGCAGGAAGCTCCCAGTGGTGCAGAAATAGAAGTTCACTAAGGTTTTGGGTCCCACCCAAAAGCTCTTCAGCCTTCTCAGGAAGAACAGCCTCTGCTGAGCCTTCTGGTGGATGCAGCTGGTTTTACTTCCGGGTCGTTCCACGGCAAGTCATCTAGAGCATCGCGGGTCATATCATGGATTTCCATGAACAAATTCTATAAAATTAGTCAATTTTAGTAATTAAGATTTACTAATTTAAGATACGTAAAGTTACTAATCTTAAAACTGTCCACCCAAAAAAAAATTGAATATTTGAAAAATATTCAAAGTTGTTCTAATTAACTCTGAACTCACTAATGGTAACAGCTCATTCTTGTCTTTATATGCATAATATGGTTCCAGTTGTTTTTTTACCTCTAAAAAAATGTTTGTTGCAAATAACAATCCCTTTTTGGAAAATAAAGGGTTAAAATTCAACCCAAAATGGCCCTTTTTACTCTATTTTTATTTATTTATTTATCCTTTATTTTACCAGGAAGGTTCCATTGAGATACAATATCTCTTCTTCCAGGAAGTCCTGGCCGAGATAGCAGTAGTGGCATTTTCATGGCTCTGTAGAGCTTCTGACTTTTTTCAAATTGTATATTTTATTTACTTTTCTGTCAACTCCCCATACATAAAATAAATAAGTATAAATATATATATTTTAAAAAGCAGTAGGTGTGAATGGTACATGTCAAAAGAATAGGCAATTATCGAATATTAATCTACCACAGATTAACAATGTACTGGGTTACGGTAGAAGTAAAAGGGTTTCCATACTATTAAGAATGTCTCTGTTTTGCCTTTGACTGTATGTCAAATGTTTCAAAGGAATGATCTCTTTCAACAATTGTATAAGTCAGATGTATAAAGAGATGTGTGTATAAGTCAAATTTTAGAGGTTTGCTGTTTGTTCTAGTTTAACAGAATATGCTGTATAGGAGATCCATCCAAGTCTTTTAGAAGAAGTAGAGTCCAGTTTACCATCCGAGTTTGTTCCAGAAAGGTACTATACTGGAGTCCCAACATAGGTCGTGTTCAGTACTTTTTCAGAAAAAGAATGTATGGCATTCCAAAACTGCCGCATACCGGCACAGTTCCAAAAGACATGAAGCACTGGCCCCCACTGACACAGTGGGGATACATTAGGGAGCACTTTGTGCAGATGGACCGGGGTTACGCAGATTCGCTGTGTGAATTTATAATTTATTCCACAATTTTATTGCAAGAGAATGATGTAAATGCAGTGTTGTAAATATGTCCCCATTGAATATCCACTAAGACTTGGCCACAGTCTTGCTGCCAAACTGGAGTGGAGGTAAAGAAGAGCTGAGGTGATCCAATAGAGCTGTATAACTGACTTCTGTTTGGAAGGAGAACAACATTTTCAAGATGGAGAGAACTGTGTAAAATCTGGGGAAGAAATATTTTAAAATGGCTGGCATATGATATGTTTATGTATCTTTAACTGATCTTTGCGCATTCCTTCATGAAAGATGATCTGTTCAAGTTCATTTAATAGTTACATGAATTCAGGAACATAGATTTAGTTGAAATTCAGCAGATTTCATCTGACAGATCTTCCTTATACCTAGCATAAATTTCAGCTAAATCCATTATGCTTTGAGCCATTGGCTTAAACATATGAGACTTCAGAATAGCAAAAAATGACTCCTTTTGCACAACTTTATTACTAAAACAGACAAATTTTACATTTTTTTTTTATGGAAATCCATGGAATGACCTGCAAGGCTCTCGGTGAGTTGGTGTGAAATGATCCCTGTAAGCAGCCTCACCTGTAAGCAGCCTCATCATCGCTTGTCCAGTCATGGTGGTGTCATCTGCACACTTGATGATCCTGTTAACCTTAAGCTGTACCACAAAGTTCTGGGTGTGCAGCAACAGACTGAGACCGCAGCCTTGTGGAACGTCAGCGCTGAAGATTAATGTGGATGACCTACCGTTGCCAGTTCTCACTGTTAGAAAGCCGAACACCCTTTCACAGGTGGAATTGCCAACAAAATTGGAATTGATAAAAGCTGAGCTGTAGTTGGTAATTTATTCCAGTATTCTCACTCCGGTCGTTGGGGACCTGCAGACAGTCCATGTTTTTGCTCGTGTTTTGTCCATGATGAGCAAAAATGTGGACTGGGAGGGAGTAAAAAGGACCGTCTTTGGGTCCCCGAGGGCCAGATTGGGAAACACCAATCTATTCAGATGTAGGTGTTCTCCTCCCAGAGTAGCATGTAAGGCAGTGGCTATGGCATCGTCCGTGGATCTGTTGCACAGGAATGCAAACTGGAATAGGTTCAGGCTTGCTGGGTTGTTACCGTTTATGTGTGACATGACCAGCTTTTCCAGACACTCCATGAATGTAAGTTAAAGTGAAGGGACTGCCATTCTTTAGGCATTCTGTCACACCTACAATAACCCTTATTACAGACTAGAAGCCACTTCCTGTGGCATATAGATGCATTAATGGCACATTCATACATTGTACTGATGTCTCATTATCCCGCCTAAATCAGCTGTATCTCTTCAAGATATTGGTGCTTTTTTCCCCTCTTCCATTCAGGCAAGTGTCTGTTGAGTGCTGGAAAAACATTTGCTTAAAAATGTGTTCATTGCTAACCTCTTTGCTGCATGCATGTTAGATAAATAATAATAGATTAACATCAAAACCAGTAGTATAATGCCTGTGATCCTTTAATTCTGCGACATCAATAAACAGGGTACAAAGCAGGCTACTGCACAAGCAGCAGCTCAGGTACAGGAAGCGAGTGCTTGTGTGTATATACAAGCGTATTTTTGTCACACGCTGCGACAGGAACCATGAGAGGAAACCACAGCTTGCTGCATGTACTTGCAGGTTCTCCCCAGCAGTGTCCTCTTAACCTTCCAGCGGCAGCAGCGCAACAGCAGAATCTCCTGCCTTGTTGCTTGCGGTGCCTGCTTGAGTCTTTAGGACGATGGGCGGTCGAAGGTCGGATGGGAACGTTTCACCCATTGTAGATTGTGTCCTGTCTTCTGGAGTTTGGTGAGAGACAGTAAGTTCTGGGTGCGGAGCTGGGTTTAGCACTAGGCCGAGCACAGTTTTACAGCTTTGTGATCAGTGTGCAGGCTGCCTCTTGGACGCGGCAGTGCATGACCTCACCGGGAACGATGAGGGCTCCTAATTGGCCAGAGGGTGCAGGCACGCCCCAGCCAGTTTGTGAAGGCTCCATGAGATGTGACTCCATGTGAATGTCTGGTCAAAAACCGGACTTCACGATTGGTACTTTGCTGCTGTTCTTCTTGGGTAGGCAGATCTTCCACATTTCATGACGCTTTCAATTTGTTCCAGTAAGTGTAGCGTGCATTATTACTTGGCCTGTTTTGTCAAAAGGAGGGTTTTTGTGTTAATTTCTCCTGTATGAGGCTGTCCTCGACACCCAGAAGTTGATCATTTGATCGCTGAAGTTCTGCTCTCCTGCTGGCTGCACACAGCCGGTCCTGGAAAAATGTCTCACTCAGGAAAAATGTGTTCCTCCGTCTCTGATCACTGTGGCATTGCATCGCGCTCGCAATGCGCCAGATTTATGGGTCCGCGTGTGGAAATAGGGTGGACTGTTGAGGATTATTAAAAATAATACCATGTGACGTCGCTGGGGACACTTTGTGGCCAAGCTGATGTCTCCCCACATCCGGGGCACTGGGTGAACTCGCTATCTGCCCTGGTGATCACTGCACTCCCCTCTGACTTCCGCTGTGTACTGGTAACAAAACCATCAGTTCGAGGTTATGCATTGTATATAATGGCCCTGAAATTTCCATAACTGGCAGCCTTTTTTGTCATGATATGCTGATGTTTTGGTCCCAGGAGGAGTTGGTGCAGTCAGATTTTGTGTGTGTGTGTGTGTGTGTGTGTGTGTGTGTGTGTGTGTGTGTGTGGATTATGTTTATATTACATTGTGGGGATTAAATGTTCCCCACTATGTAATAAAATCCTGTTTTGATATTGTGGGGACCATTTTTCTGGTCCCCACAAAGGTCTGTGAATGCATTAAAAAAACTGAAAATGCCAAAAGTCTCATTTTGTTTGATTAGTTATCGGTAAGCTTAGGGCTGGGTAGGGGTTAGGGTTGTCCTGTTGAGATTAGAGTTTTCCCCATAAAAATTAATGGAGAGACACCATAAAGATATAATTACAAACCAGTTTGTTTGTGTGGGGATTATCCTCATTTCCTTTCTGTTCTCTTTGCACACGGTGGTGTTCAGCCAATGAGAATGCGGGAGGGCACTTCTAGCCCCACCCCAATCCTTTATGATGTCAAACAGTGGATAGGCTTAACTAAGTATGGTGAGAGTGAAGGGCTAGAGGACTAAAGCCCATCTCCTTCTGTTTCAGCTTAAGATGACCCGTGTGCCTCCTGGCATGTAGATGGCGGCTATGGTCAGGGATGCTGTGGTGTGGTACCAGAAGAAGGTGAGTGTCAAGCCCCCACCCAAACCCTGCCCCCTCCTGCCAGCTGGAAGGGGGGAGTGGCAGTTTGTTACGAGGGAAAAGGAAAACAGCCATTTTGTGGGAAAAATCGTTAGACTGTGCTCTCTCTGGTTCCCATTTAGAAGCGCTTTCTCTCACTTTTTCACAGAAGGAATGGGTAGATCTGACCAGGGCTAACCCTCACACGCAACTCAGGCCGGCAGGGGAGCCGCGTGTCACCACATGATAAACCAGATCTATGGGGCTGTGAAGCAGGCAGCCATGTGTATAGTATAGAGGTTAAGGCAGGGGGTCACCGATCTTATGCAGGAAGGGCCGCTGTGTGTCTGGGTTTTAACTGCAACTCCCTACTTAGATTATTAATTAGAGGACTGATTGGCTGAAGAGTCCTGACACTTGGGTTTGAACAGCTGGCCTAAAGGTTACCCCAAAAACCTGCATACACACCGGCCCTTTGCAGATAAGATTGGCCACCCCTGGTTTAGGGGCTTTGGATTTCCTCATGACTTGATTGGGATAAACCCTTCAGCCATAAAGGGTTCAGTCGTTAAAGGGGATTGTGGTCTGGGGAGAGTAATTCCATCACGGTGCTGAGGCCTGATAAGTGGATCCCTCTCACTGTTCCAAATGAGCTTAGTTCTGGAATCAGACATCCCATGGCTCAGACATCCTGTGGTTCGACTGCACACTGTCCCTTGAAATAGCATCAGAAGCCCTCGTCCGTCTGTCTTTGGTCCTGAACGTGACTTGGCCTTCAGGTTTGACCTGTGGCAGGAGAAAGCAATGGAGGGGTTATTTTGTCGCGTCAGGTTTTGAGGTGCTGGCGGACATCTTTGCTGACGCTGACAGCCGGGACCTGAAGGGCTGCATAAGGACTCGAGAGTCTGGCAGTCATCTGTTCTGCCCAATTCCTCGCCTCCCTGTCAGTCCACTTCTAATCCTTATTCCATAGCTGTCTTAGAAAACATGACATAAGAATCCCTGCTCGTCCCTCTGCATCCTGTGCTGGTGTTCTGTCCAGTTCTGCAGCCTGCTGGCTCATATGGTCTGGCCAGTGTTGTAACCCTGAGCTCGCTGACCCAGTTGGCCATCGCTGGTAGGAAAGCGCTAGCAGACTAGCTGCTGTCGTTGTGGAAACGGGCCCCTCTCCATTGCCGCCTCCCCTCTCGCGGCCTCTCTCACTCCTTTCATGGTAGGGCCACAGTTTTCTTGCTGCCAGGTCTCACTGCAACCTGCTGTTACAGCTGCAAAGAAGCAGTACACGCACAAGATCAGCAACCAGGATCCACACATCACATCTGGAAAGGAGTGTGTGTGATAATTGATTATGGAAATCTCAACAGCTGCACGTACGGGCAACCCCCTGCGTCATCCCGGACATGCTGAACAGCAACTATGCCCGGTTTGGGCATCACAATTCAGATGCAAGGGCTGTTCAGCACATGGAGCCGGTCTTCAGCTGTAAAGGCATCCGCTCTGCCGGCATTTCGTCGCGTATTGGGGCTGCCGCGAGTAGTTGACGTAGTCGATGAATTCGACACTGAAAATGCATCGACATCAATATTTTAAATCGACGCATAGATTTTAAAATTTATTTTAGTAAAATTACTTTTATGATTTCTAAAACACCTAAATCCATTATAAAAATAGAAAATAATTTGTTTACTGAGATAAAAATGAAAAACATTTACAAAAAAAACATGTTGGAATTTAAACTGCAAAAAGTACCTTCACACCACCACCATCTTTTTACCTTGTTTAACCACAGTATCTCCTATTTTAAAAGATGATGTGGCTGCTCATCTGTCCCTTCCTTCATCGCGACTTCAGTGCTTATCGCTGGTGTTGCATGTGGCGTGCTCCGCTATCCAAATTTATTAAGCATGAGGATACGCCAAATTTATACAGGTTACTAACTTTTGGGCATCACAATACGCATCTTATTAATATTCTTAGGCAGACTACTAATCTGTTTATTGAATTGTGGGCGAAAATAATGTTTAGTGCCAAAAAACCGGCGTACATTATCTAAAGCCCTGCAATGGCATGCAGTTTGTTGTTGTCAAAATAAAATTAACTTAAACAGTCAAATTTATTTTCTGAACGAAAATTAATCTTTTAGATTAATCGACCAATCGATAAAACAGTCCATAGATTAATATTTGAAAAATAGTCATTAGTGGCAGCCCCAATCACGTGTCATGCCCCAATCATGCAGCTATGACCGGTGTACGGCAACATCTTCAATGAGTCCCTGTCTTTTGATGTGTGTCATTGTGCTTCAAGAAGACCACAGTCATGCCCGTGTCAAAGAAGTCTACTATTGCACACTTAAATGACTACAATCCTATCACTTTAACCTCCACAGTCATGAAGTGTCTAGACCAGGGGTGGGCAATCTTATCCGCAAAGCGCCGGTGTGTATGCGGGTTTTCGCTGCAACTCCCTAATTAGATCACTAATTAGAGGACTGATTGGCTGAAGAGTCCTCCCACCTGGGCTTGAACAGCTGGCCTAAAGGTTATCCCGAAAACCTGCATTCACACCGACCCTTTGTGGATAAGATTGCCCACCCCTGGTCTAGACAAACTGGCTATGTGACACATTAGCTGGTCTCTAAGCACCAGCTGCATCCACCAGAAGGCTCAGCAGAGGCTGTTCTTCCTGAGAAGGCTGAAGAGCTTTTGGGTGGGACCCAAAACCTTAGTGAACTTCTATTTCTGCACCACTGGGAGCTTCCTGCCTGGATCCACCGTGGTGTGCTTGGGTAACCGAGTGGCTCAGGACCTGAAACTGCGCCAAAGGAGCATCCTGACAGCTTCGAAGATCATTGGCACAGATCTTGCAATATTGCTCTGAATATTATGCAGATATTACTGAAAGGTCAGCGGAGTTATCAGATAATAATGTGAGATACGCAGCACTATCTGCAGTTTTACCCTGGCGTGTATCTGCTGTGCGAACCCTCTCCTCACTTTGCTGTGACCTGAGACAATAGCCTAATAATGCCCTTTTTGCTTCTCCTGTCTTTACAGATTGGCGCTTATGATCAGCAGATATGGGAGAAATCGGTAGAACAGAGAGAAATCAAGGTAACAGTGTTTGTTTGCCATCGAGCCACGGCTCGGCCACCTGTGGCCTCGTCCAGAGTGCTCTTCTCTGCCCTCTTGTGTCCCATGAAAGTGATTTCAGCAGATTCTAAGTTTAGTAACTGTGGTTCGTGTTTCTCCCCAGGGTCTCCGCAACAAGCCAAAGCGGACGGGCCACGTGAAGCCGGACCTCATCGATGTGGACCTCGTGAGGGGTAAGGAGTGGGGGGAGGGGCTTCTCGCTGGTCAGCGGCTTTGGAAAGTGTCAGCATGGGGGAGCAGCAGCTATGGCTTTTACAACTGGAAGCCTCGAGTTCTCAGAAACGGATCTGCTTGCAGTGAAGTTTCTCAATATGCCACTTCTGTGAAAATGTGTGAAATACACTGCCATCTAGTGGAAATTAGGAGGATGCTGTTGTCTACCGTTACTTCATGCCAGATGCCCAAATCCAAGTAATTTAGACACTTTTGTCATTTTAAGTCAATTTTATTTTGGGTCTGCCTGAGCCATTTAAGCAGGAGACCCATTGCCTGTCATCCATTTTGGAGGCTGTTGTACTGATCTCTGGATGGCCCCTCTCTGCCCCTTGCCCCCGCAGGCTCCGCGTTTGCAAAGGCCAAGCCCGACAGCCCGTGGACCTCGCTGACTCGGAAGGGCATCGTCAGAGTGGTCTTCTTCCCATTTTTCTTCCGCTGGTGGATCCAGGTGACCTCCAGGGCCATCTTCCTGCTGCTGCTGCTCCTGTACCTGCTTCAGGGTGAGTGAGAGCGAGGCCACAGCCCTGCACAGGAAGGTTACGCCCACTTCCTGTCAGAGGCGCCTGATTGGCTCGCGACTGCAGCCTCCCAAGGGCCACACGCTGTCCTTTCTCTCAGCAGTCGGAAGCAGAACGAAGCTGTTTTTCACATGTAGACTGGAATAGGCTTTCCAGGCTTCTATATGAGTTATGAGCTCTGTTTCGTAATCTCCTTTATCTTGAAAGGTACTTCAGTGCAGTGCGGTCCCTGCAGGCTTTATATAAAATCCCTCCCCCCCCGACTCAAACACAGTATCTGAGCTGCCCCACGGTTGCAGTTGACAGGTTGCCACGCCATGACCCTCAGTTCACAACATGATTTGGACCAAAATATTTGTCTCACCCATTGTCTCTCTCCCCCCCTCTTTCTCCGGGCTGTAGTGGTGGCGGCCGTCCTCTTCTTCTCCATCCGACAGACGCACGGTGTGCCCGTCACGGAGGTGTTTGGTGCGCTCTGCTTCATGCTGCTGCTGGGCACGGTGCACTGCCAGATCGTCTCCACCCGGACACCCAATCCCCCCCCCTATAGTGGAAAGAGGAGAAGGTGAGTCCGCAGCTCAGTCTACCTTGAAAGCTTCTCATTGACCTTCTAGATGATTCTGGTTGCCTGGTTTGGTGTCTGAGCCCTCTTTATCTGTCTGGCTAAAGGAAGTTGAGGAAGGCTGCTCACTTGGAGGTGCATAGGGAGGGAGATGGCTCCAGCAGTACCGATAACCCCCAGGAGGGAGCGTCACAGGGTCAAACGTCAACAACCAGCCGCAGTCTCAGTGCTCTTCTGAGAGAGATCTGGCAGTTCTTCAGTATAGGGTGCGTAAGCTGCTTCTCCTTTCAGCACCAAGCTACTCACCCAGGTCCTCTCGGGTCCCTCACAGGGACGCCCGTCCTTCGGTAATTAGACCTCCTGTATCTTCTGCAGGACCAAGAAATCCAAGATGTCCATCGGCAAGTACAAGGAAACCGCTGGTTATGTGTCCCTGGGTGCTGAGGTGACCGGATCGGGGCTGGAAACACACGTGACCCCGTGCGACCTCCTGCGTTTTGAGGAGACGAGCTGGCGGGCCCCGTCGTCCCGGAATGCAGCGTCGCGGTTTACACCCCCAAAGGTGGGTGTCACGGGACCCCCATGTTTAGCAAGCGTTTAGCTGGCAGCAGGCTGTTGACGGCCTCCCCATATGTCCCCACACGTGTTAAGAAGCCCCCTAGTCCCCGCCTAGTGGAGAACGTGTCCGATGAGGCCTCCAGCGAGGAGGACCCCGAGGCGCCCTGTGGATCTGCCCGCCGGGGGACCGAATTTGTGAACGGTGACATCACGCTGCGCTTCAGGAAGCCCCTGAACTGCAGGAAGCCGTACAGCACAGAGGTAGGGGGTCAGGGGACTGCTGTGCTTAGTAATGGAGCAATGCATCATGGGATATTTGCATCTAATTCACCGTCGTTTTATGAAGAAGATTTTTGGTGCATGAGGTAATTGTGTCCGCCCCCCCCCCCCTCAGGAAACAGCGCGGTCTGGTACCAGCGGCAGCTCCCGGCGCTCCAGCCTCCGCCAGGACTCCGGCAGCGCCCGGCCCGAGTCCGAGACGGAGGACCTTCTGTGGGAGGATTTTCTGCACTGTGCCGAGTACCGGTCGTCCTGCAGCAGCGACAGCGAGCGTGACGGCCCCGCCCACAAGAGGGAGTACCGGGACGACCCCTTCCACCAGGTGGGACCCCGCCACTGTCCGCTGTCACGCCCCGTCCCTCGTGTCTCTGCCATCGTCTTGGTCATGTGCCATTTTAACTGGGTTGTCCTTGCATTCATGGTATTCACACAATACACTTTGTATTTCTACTAACACCAGTCATTGCAGTTAAGTAAACTGCTAAAACCCAGCCAGCCAGTCATACGCCTGCAGGCTGTCACAACATTCACATTCTCTTCTTTTATTTTTTTATTTATTTATTTTTATTCATTTAATGTTCGTATGTCGTTACGCAGAGTCAGTCTGTGCTGCGAATCTTGCGCTGTTCTGCTCTGCACCAGTGATATCAGGAGCCAATATCGAGAATCGGGGTGGATTTCTTCATTTTTATTTTTTTTTTTAAGTTACTACAGCCCATCTGTTTCATTTCCCACGTCCATGTAATTTGTCAGTTGTGCTGATTGTCAGGTTCTGTCACGGGCTGCAGGGAGCTTGAGGCGTGTGGCCCAAACTGTCGAGACGTCAGCTGTGCAGAAATTCTTCAAACAAGAAACTCAAAGTAGCTCGACAGCTGGCCTGCAATGTTTGCAGCGCCATGCTTTCGAGATGAGGTAGAAACAGAGCGTCGTCCATACAGCGAATCTAAATAGGCCCTTGCAGAAACATCTTAAGGATGAATACTGCAAAATGGCAAGGCTTACTCAGGCAAAGAATGCAGCAACGGCAATAAGGATCGGAATTGACAGATATAAATATCGAATGGATCAGATCACAGTACCAGAAAAGTGGATCAGGACATCCCTAATCTACACATATCGGTTTTTGTTTTTGTACAGTACTTTTGGCATACTACAATTATATACAGTGAGATTTAATTTTAAATTTATTTTCTAATTTCTGACTTTATTCTATAATTTAAGTATATTAGTGAAAATTGTTTGTCCTTTTGTCTTTCTGTTCCTCCGAAGATAAAGGATCTATCTTTTCTCTCTTATCTAATCGATCTGTCTGACTTTTTTATTTATCTGTCTAAAGCTTATTTCCCCATTGTGACTGCATTGTGTGAAATGGGTGTAATCTCATCCAAATATCTCCACTGGCCCTGTGTGGCTTCAGCATGAACTAAAAACCATTTCATGGCTAGGGCCACGCCCCTTGGCTGCACTGCCCCAGCCCAGGCCTGGAGCGCGTGAGCGCCATCGTGTGGGAGGGTAACGAGTGCAAAAAAGCCGACATGTCCGTGCTGGAGATCAGCGGCATAATCATGAACCGGGTGAGTGGTCGTCAGGGAGGAGATTGAGAACATCCAGAACTAACCCAGAAGGACAGGTTTTCGAATCACAGAAGCAGTCGCAGGAATACCATTATAGCTAAAAGGAGTGTTTGGAGCCTAGATGTGTTTAATTAAATGTATTAAAATGGTACATAGAAAGGGCTGAAATGTGTGAAATGTTCTTGATGAAATAGGTGAGGTGAAATGACAGGAATTGCGTGGCTCACACTTTACCGTCATGACATGGCTTGAACTTGTTTGCTGTGTGGCCGGTTTGTAGGTGAATCTTTACACCCCTGGAATAGGATACCAGGTGTTCGGGAACCTGGTGTCGGTGATCCTGGCCCTCACGCCGTTCGCGTTCAGGCTCTTCCAGCACGAGGAACCGGAGCAGGTGGCCGCGCTCTCAGCCAACGAGCTGCTCTCCATCGCCTTTGGCTCCAGTGGCGAGGTGACGGTGATCGTCATGGTGACTGTCAGCTTTGTGGTGCGAGCCTGTGTCATCTGGATCTTCTTCTTCCTGCTGAGCGTGGCGGAGAGAACCTACAAGCAGGTGAGTGAGGGCAGTGGACCACAGGATTGGGAAGGTGCATTTAAATTTAGATTAGCTTGAATTAGACTCTAACTTTAAGATATTGAATTCAGCAATAAGGTATTGCTTTCACACTTTGTTCCAGTCTTTCGTCGTAGGTTTGTAAGTTATGTGTAGTGAATTGAAGAAAAGCACCATAAACCCCTGTAACTGCTCTCGACCTCTCCACCTCAGAGGCTGCTGTTTGCAAAGCTCTTCGGCCACCTGACATCGGCTAGGAGAGCCAGGAAGTCCGAGGTGCCCCACTTTCGTCTCAAGAAAGTGCAGAACATCAAAATGTGGCTCTCGCTGCGTTCCTACCTAAAGGTGCTCTTTCCCAGGTTGCGTCTTCCCACAGTTTCAAAAAACCAGGCAATGAAAGCCAACGTTTCATTTTTAAAACGCGTGGAGTACATGAACTTTGAGCGAGGATCTGATGGGATCGTAACGTATCATTGCTGATGGTATCAGTTTAGCCTCAAAGAAGATCTGCCCCCCCCCCCCCAACCACTAGGAGGGAATTCAGTGATCCATGTTCATCCATGTCTACTCACACTTTCCCTCCCACCATCTTCTTCACATGTCATAGAGAAGAGGCCCACAGCGCTCTGTGGATGTCATCGTTTCCTCTGCGTTCCTGCTGACGCTTTCTGTGGTCTTCATTTGTTGCGCTCAGGTGAGCAGCTTCTCCTGCAAAGGCAGAGGGGAGAAATGGATACCAGGCGTGTGGGTGTCTGGTCTCCCCGATCCCTGTCTTCGCTCCCTTTTTGTTTATGTCGTCCCAGCACAGTGACCTGTAGCAGATGACCTTCCTCTCAGATTGAGGCTAAAGGATAGCAGATTTTACATTTATATAGCAGACGCTTTTAGTCCAAAGCTACATACAGTTGAGAATGCAACCAATCCTTGGAGCAATTGGGAGTTAAAGGCCTTTCTCAAGGGCCGACAGTGAAATGACGCTGCCAAAACTGGGATTTGAACCAGCAACCTCCCGATCACAGGCACTGCATCCTCACCCGCTGAGCCACACCCTGCAGATAACCTGTAAATGTCTCGGATTGGTCGAAGAGAGGCATCTGTAAGGTTGTAGAAAGGCTTTCGAAGGAAACTCCATATGATCTCTGTTAAGGGAGATTGAAATATGAAGCACAAAGCCAGTGAGATTCACCCTGTCTCATTCTCTCTTGTCTGTATCCTGTCACCCTGCTCAGTTGCTCCATGTCCACAAGACCTTCCTGGACTGTCACTACAACTGGGAGCTGATGATCTGGTGCATCTCCCTGTCCCTGTTCCTGCTGCGCTTCGTCACCTTAGGCTCCGAGACCAGCAAGAAGTACAGCAACACCTCCACCCTCCTGACAGAGCAGGTACGGGGCAAGCTCTGGGTATGGAGGCCATACCTCTGTAGTGCCGGCAGACGGTCTCTGGCTGACGGCTCTCGCGCTTCCTCACAGATAAACCTGTACCTGAAGATGGAGAAGAAGCCTAACAAGAAGGAGGAATTGACCCTGGTGAACAACGTTCTGAAGCTAGCCACCAAGTTGCTGAAGGTAGAGCCTCATGTTGAGCCTTATTGCTTTATGCTAGTGGTATTGCTGATGGGAGTAATGTTAGTGGGAGTAATGTAGTGGGAGTAACACTGGCTGTACTCTCAGGTTTGTAGTCGCATACTATGAGGCAGACGAGGAGCTATCATCATACACTGGGCCAGAGCCAGCTGAGAGATGTCATCTTGTAATTCTTTTTTTCTCCTCAGGAGCTGGATACACCTTTTCGGCTGTACGGTCTCACCATGAACCCTCTGCTGTACAACATCACCCAAGTGGTGATCCTGTCGGCTGTATCTGGGGTCATCAGTGACCTGCTGGGGTTCAACCTGAAGGTGCATTTCAGCAGTTTCTGTCTGTCCAGTTCTTAGTTTGAGTCCCCCCAATAATAATAATAACGATGATACTTTACTGATCCCCGTGGGGAAATCCTCTTTTCGCCCACCCCGTCTCGCTCTTCGTGGCACACAGACGCATGTAGGTGAGAGCAAGCTTGGCAGCAGAGGGCAGCCTTTGGCGCCCATGGAGCTGGAAGCTAGGGGACTTGCTCATGGGCCCACAGACGTGACTATTTTGCCGAAGCTGTACTCAAATGGGCAGCTTTCTGATCACAGACACAGAGGCTTAAGCCCACTGAGCTACATGCTGCCCCCAAATCCATAGTCTATTACATCCAGCAAGTGCTAGGATCTACTGCTTATGCGTGTCATTTATCAGCTACGCGAGTGAATCTTTACTGCGTAACTATCGAAAAAAAAAGTCAATTTAATGTAACTGATGTATACTTCACAGTATGAGTATCTTGCTTTAGATCATCAGGGGGATTGTACCTTATGTTGATTTGAAACTTGTGTTTTCCCCATTCGTAGTTGTGGAAAATCAAATCCTGATGTGGAGTAAAAAATCAAATCCTGACATGAAGCTACAGGAATCTGGAGGGTCCTTTCATCAGAGGAGATCAAGTTCCTCCAAGCTGTGAGGCGCCGCGCTGAGACTGACTGGCATATCCCCAGATTTTGTTTCTCGTTTTTTTTGTGCAATCCTGATATTTATTTGAACATTTCACTGCTTTTTTTTTTTAAGCAAAAACGTGTGTTTCCAGTGTTTAAGTATTATTTTAGCAAGAACTGTGGCTTGTCAGTATGAGGTATTATTCTATTCATTTGCTCTGAGTTGTTCAGATTATTGAATTTAGCAGCTGGTGGCTGTTTCAAACACCTTCAAAGGCTGATTTCCACTTGGCGCATTGTGCAAAAGGTCAAGGGCTGGTTAGGCCCGCAATCTTGGACCAGCCTGTAACCATGGCGACCGCTCCAGGAGGTTTACGACGCGGGGCTCAGAAGCCTGCGAAGGCAGCCTGGGTGGGGGGCGGGCAGTATGGACGTGGCCGTTTCCGTGACACCTAGGTGCTGTGACAGGACATGGTGGTTCCCCTGTGTGCCACTCATGGTGCGTAGGACACAAATCTGCATCCTTATGCTGTTGCTTTATGAAAATTTTATACCTTTATTATTAGTATTTCTATACTTATTATTTCTTTAACAGGTGTTTGTTTAAAGTGATGTTTGTCTTTTTTTTTGTTTGTTTGTTTGTTTGTTTGTTTGTTTGTTTGGATGGATGTTTTCTGAAGTACCTGTTTTGAAGCTGAGTTTTTCATCCAGGTTTGACCTTTTTTTGTCACCAGTGGTGTTTCACCACGTCACCTGTGACACAATTGTATAACTTGCTTGACCAAGTGGCCACTGGTCAGACAAAAAGCTGTTTCAATTTCTGACAGTAGTCATCAGAAAATGGATTTTTAGCCAGGCTTGGGCTCTCGGTGTGTTTACTTGGCCTGGTAGTGTGCACTTTAAAAAGAAATGTTACCTTTTTTATAATGGGGGGAAAAAACCTGATCAGAATCATAGCTTTTCTTTTCATGTTTGCTCGTCGTTGTGACAGAGACCAAAGGGCATTTTGCTAAAAAAAAAAAAAAAAAAAAAAANAAAAAAATAATGGCGTATGACTTTGTTTGTTCGTTTCTTAAGCATGTTTTTGAGTATTATGGTTCTTTCATTGAAAATGCTTGGAAGCGTATTCCTTCTTTTTTAATTATTTTTCCCCCCATATAATTATCCACAATGTTACATTGTAGACATAAGAACATTTGCATAAAAATGTTTTGGGGGGAATAACTGAATTGTTTTATTTAAAATGAGACTCTCCATTGCTCTGCATATTTAAGTTTTCATTCCTTCCTTTGGAAATGATGTGATGTTTCTGTTGTAAATGGCTGTTACAGATTTTTGTACAGTATAGGGATTGTGAAGTATTCTTTAATCCAGTATACTAAGAAATATGTTACAGGCTATGGCTTCTGAACAAGAAATCTGACCATAACTATGTTTGGTTCCCATGACTTGGTGTAACATGTGAATTGTGTTTCACACTCCTGTCATTAAATACTCGTGGCTGACAGCTAAGTTTCTAATCTCCATTCCCATTGGACAGTTTTCAACAACTACCAGAGCAATTAATAATCCTTGTCCACTGTTGTCTGCCCCTTGATATCGTTTTTCTCCCCCCACTGTTGAGTAGCAAAACCCCCCAAAATGTGTGTCTGCTCTCATTAATCTTGTCACGCCACCAATCAGGTATGTTATCAGATCTGGCTCTTCCCATCATGCTCTTGTCTTAGAGTTGACTGCATTTCAAGGATCAGTAGAATAGACTTGCAAAGTGAAAGGAGTTACAGAAGTTCATTTCCATTACAGGTCAGTGTATGTGTGTTTAAATGTGGTACCAGGACGTGTCCAGCCAGAAGTTCGACCTGAGTGAGGTTCCGGTGAGGCTGGTCAGTCTCGTCGCATTCGGATCACCTTATCTCCCATTTGGCATAAGCTGCTGTTGACACAATGAATGAACTTGAGCTGTGGGTTACTGATTAGAGCTGCCTTTATGAGGTGCCTTAAATAAGGCCAAGACCAAAGTCTCTTTTGGAAGCTCTCCATCACTCAGTCGTCAACGAGTCTGTTGGAGCTCAGGTAAAATCCAGTCATTTTTCAGTATCTTTTGTTAAAGATATTTATATTTATCTTTAAAGTCTTGTGCTTCCCATGCAGCTGCTGGCAGCTGCACCTTCCAGAACACGGTTGTGGTCCTGCTCATTGTTACCACACTGTAATCTACCGTGTTTCATCTGTTTTTCTGACATTTTGACTGTTGAGCTTAATTGAGGACCTCTGGTGGTGTAGTTGCTTTCAGAGACACTGGAGCACGTGTGTTTACTAGTCATGTTCTGAAATTAAAATGAATGATTCAGAAATTAAAGTAAACATTTACATTAATGAGATATAGCATCTGTTTTGCTGTATTTTACAACTTAAATGCAGCTTGCTCACAGTGATTGACAAAAACGTGAAGATCTTTTATGTCCAGCATTCAAGAGATTTTAAATCAAACTTGGGTATTTTTGCTGTTATGTTATTGATATTTTTGTATTGTAACTACAGCTGATCAACATGGTGGCAGATACCAAATCGCCCGACACTTGCTGTTCAAAACTCAAGGTCAGCCCCTTCCACTCACCCATTATTCATTCGCACTTGGGATAATCCAATGCAACAGTTTCCGCGTCACCCTTTCTCATTAGATCAAGGGTTAATTGTCAAACAGAAATTGTGTCTACTGCAAGGAAATGAAGCACTGCTACAGGATATTGCCCTTTGGCGACCGATTCTTGTTCACTTTTCACCTCCTTGCTCATTTCTGTTAAATTTCTCAGGAACACGTCACACTGTCTGTGAGTGAGTCCGACAATAAAGGATGAAAATAATTAAGATTGGTTTAGAGAGTGTATGCCGACCTCGTGCAGCAGCAGAGCTGAGCCTTACGCTGATTTTAGTAAACATATACTGGTTAATCTTGAAAAGGAACGATCATTAAAATTGCAAACCTTGCTAAGTATCGTTTCTTGTGATAGCGTAAAAATGTTTTAGAGCAATTTATTGATAGCCACCATCCATTGAACCTTATCGAGGGGAACTCCTCGTACTTGCTGAATTTTATCTCCAAGATTTCGAAATACTGGTTTTGTATTGCGAAACAGCGTTGCTCTTCAAGAACTGTCAAAATATCATATACCGCATCACTTCCAAGCTGTATGATGGCATGAACAATTAAATAGCACCCAAGCCTTATCTCGATCCAGATGATTATCATGGTCCTTGCCAGGGCCAGATTAAAATATTCACTGCTTCTGGGGAAGAGCACACATGACATCACATCCAAAAGAAACACGGCTGATTGGATATTAAATCACATTAACTTGTTAAAAGTCTGGGACTGGGGAGTGGCTTATTTGGGCTTGTTCTGCCTGGTGCCCCGCAAGGACGTGATGCCACTGGACATGTGCCCAAATGCCCATATGGGTAGTCTGGGCCAGGTCCTTCAGATGTGACAATTGCACGTGCACATTATGTGATGTCGATATTAAAATCACATATCATGCAATGAAAATATTTTAACACTAAACCCAGTTTTTAAACCATTCCATTTCCTGGTAATACTCCATATGAATAAGAGAATGTCGCTCCAGTATCCACATATAGCTGTGATCGGAAGGGCTGGTGAATGTCTGATGATTCACAGCTTTCTCCCTTTGTTAGGCTGACAGTAATCAGATCCCAACTCAGACACCATTGCATTCTTTTTTATTAATAACCTACCACGAATGCCACACAAATGGAGGATTGGTAATGAAATGAACGCAAAAGCTATCCAAGTCTGGACCCGATTATTGTTAATATATTTTATTGTTAATACGTGTTCCTATTGCCAATGAACTGACGTTATATAATCATCTGATGGTAGAACGTAGTGTTTTAAAAGACTTTTCCCTTTGCATAGCTTCCAGTGGCTTTTGGGCAAGATTTTCGTTACTATTTGCTCAGACCCAAATTTTTAAAAAGGTGAATAGTTTGCTCCAAGACATAGACAGCTGATGTACTGTATTGGTACTGCAGGTTGGTTAAAACTGTCCTCTTAAGAACAGTCCTCGATAGTTTTAAGTCATTCACCTCTAAGCATTTTCTTATGGATGCAGAAATTTGAGTCATCCTTGTCGGTTGTATAACCCTCCAGCTTGTGGGAAATAATCCAGTTTGCATATTTATGTGGTTTGCGACCAGCCTTGCTCTCTGTTTTTATCTATAGGTAAGTGCCCCTCAGGGATAACTGTGCCAAATGGCATTTCATTGATTTGTTGATCTTTACCTGAGGAATTCTGTGTCTTTACAACACTCAGGGGATACCCTTTGACACAAGACCAATCAAACTGGCCTTTAATGATTAACTTTCTTCTGTGGTTGTGTCTCCTTTCCCCTGCTGCTGTTCAGGCACAAATGGCCACTATAAGTTGTTTGGTATCATTGTACCTTACATACTTCTATTTTCTAGAGTGTGTCACATTAACTTACATCTTAGGCTGCCAAAATCTATCTGGGTGATACTGAATGCGTAATGGAGAGCTGCTTGTGTAGCTTGCTGATTTGGGACCTTGGGGATGTTCATATTTACTGAAGTTTTTCAGGGGAGCGTGTTTGTGGAAATACGTAGAAACGCAGTCCACATCACTTACTGAAAGGCAGTAAATAGAGAAAAGGAAATGCAATAGAAGGATAAAAGTGTAAGATGCCCTAGCTGATAAAGAGAATATTGTTGGAAGTGTGAAAATGACTCGTGATAGAATATCCATTAAATGAGCCTTTGACTATGTATTATGTACAATTCCAGTTAAAAGTTTTTGCAAACCACAAGTATTTCATTTATTTCAGAAACTGCAGATTTATTATTCTTATTAAACACTGGAAAGTTGAGTGAACAACTGTAAATGAAAATATGTCAAAACAAGTTTCCTTTATAACATGGAAAGAGTATGTAACAGTGCATCTCTGACATCCTATTAACTGCTGTGTGGTGATGGCAGAGTCACATTCTAGGCTGTCCTTTAACTTTAAATGCACTAGTTTACTGTCTCATCCCATGAAACAGAGCAGTATTTAATGTCCCTTGTAGAAAAGAATGCCTTGAATTTTCTCTGCTGTTATAACTGCTAGAGGAGGTTACTTTGACGAATCAAAGATATGACATTTTCTTGTTAATATAGGTAGTCAAATGGTCGACATACTGTACATTAATTTGTTAGCAAAGAATATTTAGTGTATTTTTAGTGAATGTTAAGTGAGTGACATGCAAATGTATAAAATCTGTGTGTGGAAAAACGTTTCACTGGTAGTGTACTCAAGAACCTTAACAGTTTGCTGTAACCCATCAGAACAGGGAAGCCAAGAAAACAGACTAGTCACTCGTGAAATGTAGCAGCTCATATTCATCTGTCTTGTGATACTGTAGCACAGGGGTTTCCAACTCTGGTCCTGGAGAGCTACTATCCAGTAGGTTTTCTATCCTACTTGGCTTCTGATGAGCCACACCTGGCCCTGTATTTACCTGAGAACAGGTGTGGCTCATCAGAAGCCAGGTAGGATTGAAAACCTACTGGATAGTAGCCCTCCAGGACCGGAGTAGGTGACCCCTGCTGTAGCACTTGAAAAAAGAGAGCGGTAACAGGGAATCCAACCAGAAACTATCTTCATTCAAAGGCAGGCTTTCAGGGACAAGTTCAGATAAACATTGCTCTTTTAAAAATGAGGCACACACCAGAGAAGGCCACCCACTTCCCAATATGGGGCTCACCTTGTTAATCGGAATATAACGCAAATTCACAGTGACCCTTCTAATGGACAATTTACTATCTTTAACCTGAGTGACCTAGAACACTTATATAAACTCTTTAAAATTAACCAACCATTTATTTACCAAAGAACTAAACCTTTTTATGAGCTTTAAAACTAATAAACCGATTAACTACAAAGCATGCTGGGTAGCTGCACTATATTGTAATATAAATTGGAGAAGGAGGAGTTATTATAAGGATTGAATTCTTCGCTAACAGAATTTTATGGAATTTGATTTCGCTGGCACCTTAAGCACTAGGATAATGCTCTGTGATGTCTCCCGCCAGCTGTTCCTGGTGTCCCTGTCCTTCGTCTTCTTCGCCAAAGCCTTCCAGGGGAGTTACATGAAGAGCTCTATCACCCAGATCGAGAGGCGTTTCGACATCCCCAGCTCGGTGATAGGCGTGATTGACGGGAGCTTTGAGATAGGTGAGCATGCCGGTCATCTAGCTGCATGTCCGGAAATGTCGGTAAATAATGCTGCTGGTTTTTCAATGACGCATTTAATCCAGATTTTTGTTTGGTTCATGCAAAAAATCTATTGTCCATTTAGCGCTAATTAGTGTTTCCAAGATAATACTCTCAGCGTTGCGTCTTCTGCGCTATCTCTGGTCTTGTGCCCTCAGGTAATCTGCTGGTTATTGCATTTGTCAGCTACTTTGGTGCTAAACTCCACCGACCACGGCTGATCGCCATCGGATGTCTGATTATGGCCTTAGGGTCCTTTTTAACCGCTCTACCTCATTTCTTCCAGGGCAGGTAAATGATGACCTCACCCACACCCTACACCTCAAACCAATAACTTACACTGCCTAAGCCCCATGTTCCACTCTACACTCCACTGTACCAATTTCCTAGATGCAATAAAATTGTTTCCATTCTCATTTTTTTTTATGTCTTCTGATATTCATTTGGGGGGGTCGGGGAACGTTTTATTTGGTGTACGCAGGTATAAGTATGAAACAACTATTTCACATTCTTTCGAGTCCAATTCTACTGAGAACATCCTCCCATGCATGGCCGGTCAGACTGGGGCAGAGGATTCAGCAGAGACCAAAGCAGGTACGCTCCAACCCCAAAGTGTCTTAGGCACATTACTACAAAAGTTGTTGTAAATATTGAGTTGACTAATCATGGGATATTCCAAGAAATAAACGCACAGAGTTCATTGAGACAAGCCAGGAGTGCAGGAAGTAAACAATGAGTGAGTAACAACCTGTGGTCTTTGTACTCATGGGCATTTACATGCCTAGGGAATATATTCTGACAGAAACTGAATGGTGAACACACAACAGAGGTTTGTAACTGAGTAAAAATATGTATAATATAAAAAAATGAACTAAGGATGGAAAAAAATAAAGAAATAAGGAGCAGGAAAATAAGATTTTTAAAATATCCTGTCGTTTTTTTCTGTTGTCATCTGAATTGCCGAGCCCAGAGAAATAAATGTATAAAGTTGAGAGTAACCAGCAGAAATGATCTATAGAGACAATCTCCCCACATGCCGCCCCCCCCCCCTCATCAAAGATTTTGGGAGAGCAAGCGACGCGGGTTTTC